AAAATAAAATAAAATAAAATAAAATAAAATAAGCCATAAAAGACAAAAAGAAAAAAAGCTGTACATAAAGTGGTACACATGGAGTTTTTTTTATTTATTTATTTAACCTTTATTTATGCAGGTAAACTGTTTGAGAACCACTTCTCATTTACAAACATGACCTGACATGATGCACTGAGTGCATTGTAATATACAAACCTACAGATTCAGCCAGAGTAAAGTGATTGTACATTTTAATCACAATTTAATTTTTAAGCACTAAAATTAAGAGTTAACTCGATTAATTTCACAGCCCTAATTTTTATATTCTTACTTTTTATTTATTCATTCATTCATTCATTCATTCACTGTGCTTTTAAAGCATACTGTGTCTTGTCCAAGGACACTTTAGCATGCTGCAGGGTCTGCAGATGGAACCCCTAACTCTTTGATCGGACAGTGACCACCCTACTCACCGGGTCAGGCCACCCTGAGGCTCGCTGGTCACTTGGTTGCAAACACTCACAATCAGTGAGACTGCAACAGAAAATTAGCCTTTTTCTCCCATCTTTACAGCAATTTTGACTCTCCAACAAGCACTGAAGAGCCACAGCGCAGTGAGATATTAGCTAAAGCAAACGCAGGGTTTAACTTTTACTTGTATCTGAACCAGAAACCTGGGCGTGAAGATGCAGAGCGTTTCATAACAAAACAAACTGGGTCTTTACGTCTCTGCCTGGCAAACAACTGTTCTTTAAACTCCCACTGCAGCAGTAAACAAACAAATCAACTTTTATAAAGAAAATATAAAAATTACTACCTTGTACATCTGATAAAAAGCCTGTTATGTGCCATGGATAACACTTTCTCATAGCAGCTGACTTCTAATACAACACAATGTGACGCTAACATCATGAAAACTGCTTTGTTTGGTAGTCATTAAGCATGCACTGTGTTTAGGTTTTTCACCATTCATCACAGACTGATGTACTTGTGTGTCTGTGTGATGATGCTCCCCTTTCTCTCTGTCCCCTGCCTCACAATGTGGGCTCCAACGGGGAGAAGTCATCCGTCTTCGTTAGCGTCTGGGGCTAAATATGCTTTGCATCTGGTACTGAGCTTTTCATCCCCCCCTTGGCCTACGCCGCTTTGTTTTGTTTGTATAATGATAGTTGTACTCTATGAATACATAATGACAACAAACTGTGCAGGACTTGTGCATCCAAACACAGAAATGTCTGCCTTCTCGAGTGGGTGTCTACATATTTCAAATTGCCATTTAAAGACCCTTAGTATTTGCTTTGACCTCCTCAAATGGCTGTCTTGCATACTGACTTCTAATGGGCAGGCTTCTTTGTTTCTGTGATTGTTCTGAGCACAGAAACTCAGAATTTAGCTCATTTCATGTCCATTTTGGTAGGAAAAAAAAGAATTTGGCCTTTGAGAAAATTAGGCTGACACCAACATCAGCGTGAAAATTCCCTCCAAATGGACATTTAATAAGGAGCATCTGAAGATGTGTGGGTTTCAGAGGGTGCTAACAACCTATGGCTGTAGGTTTAAAAAGTTACAGGAATTGCTTGGCAGGGGTGCCCTCCAGTGGTGGATCATGAGAAAACCTGCTCTGCTCAGAGAGTACTCACTGTGCTTTTGTCTTTTAACAGTTTCTCGATCACTTCGATCAGTTGCTCCTTCTGGTCTGGATCCAAGCTGAAGACAAAAGACAGTTTAATTTGAAATTTCAGCTACTGAATACAAACGCATTGAAAAAAAATCTATATTTTTAAACTCGGGGAAACAACTGAATCAGCATCATCTTATATACTGACTGATTATACTAGTGAGTTGCATCAACTCATCAGGTTTTATGTTTTGTTCAGAGGCATGCTACTTCCAAGACAAAGTCCCAACTTCATATGTGAAAAACTGACTGGTTATATCCATTTTTGTGTTTTCTAAAGTGGAAGCCATCTTGAATTGGGGTAACTCCAAATGTTAATAAGATAAGAAGCTTTATTATCCCAATATTACTGCAACTTGTACAAAAAGATAATTAAATGCTTAACATCAAGTATAGGGAAAAATACACACTGCATCGCAAAATAACACACAAACACACTAATACAGTATAAGTTTATATAAAACTCTAATTCCAATGAAGTTGGGATGTTATGTAAAACAAATACAGATTATGATGATTTCATTCAACCTTGCCAAGATATTCAATTTAATACACTACAAAAACAAGATATTTAATGTTCAGATACTTTAAATGTATTCTGCAAATATTCACTCAATTTGTATTTGATGCTTGCAGCTATTTCCAAAACAGCTGGGCCAGGGGAATGTTTCCCACTGAGAAACATCAACTTTCCCTGATAACAGTCTGCACAGTCCTTTTCCTCTTTGGCCTGGACGACATGATGTCCAACAACAGATTGAAATGTGGACTCATCAGACCAGAGGAAACGTTCCTCTCTGTGTCGGTCCATCTCAGATGAGCTCAGGCCCAGAGAAGCTGCAGTGTTTTGGAGTGTTGTTAATATCGGGCTTTGGCTTTGCATGGTGGAGTTTTAACTTGCTCTTAGATGTAGTGTTGAACTGTGTTCACTGACAATGGTTTTCTGAGGTGTTCCTGAGCCCATGTGGTATTATCAGGTACAGAATGATGCTGGTTTTTAATGCAGTGCTGTCTGACAGATGGAAGACGGGCATTCAACATTGGTTTTTAAATTTACTGCTTACTTGCAGAGATTTGTCCAGATTCTCTGAATCTTTTGATGATATTATAGACTTTAGATGATTGTATGTTAATAGAAATAGAAACAGCCTTTATTGTCCCGCGGAGGGGAAAATCAGGTGCAACAGCAGCAGCATCAGTTCACCAAAAAACAATATCTTGCTTTGCACCAATACAGGGCTCCTACAGTTTAAGGCAAGTTAAATTTAAGCCTTTTTAATGCCAAGTGAAATTAAATTTAAGACCAATTTCACAATAAACCCAAATGACAAAAAAATAAAAACTGTGGCAGAAACTCATGAATCAAATTATTTTTGGTTGAAGTATTCAAATATTGCTAATAGACCAATTGTTTTTATCCATGTCAAACTGTTTTTTCATCAAACATGGCAAAAACCTTCTTAGCAGTCAATTTTAAACTTAATTTATTTTCTGGAAATCCTCTAACATCCCAAAGTTTGGAGTTTTAGGACCCACAGTGGGGTCTTAACCCCAGTTCGCTGTAGATAAAACTTTAAAGTGCCTGTGACATAAAAATTTTTGTAAGAAATATGAATGACTTTGGAAAAACATTAACATATTACAAAACTAATTTCACAATGCTCAGATGGACGGTTGAGATATTTGCATGTGAAATAACAGGAAGTGATGTCAAATGATAATGTCTGCATGTGACTATTTAAAAAAATAAATGTTAGCAATTATTTTAGTATCTGAGACGTCATCCTATTTACAATGTGTTAGGATTTTTAAGACTTGTGAAAAATAGATTTAAGACATTTTAAGGCTAATTAAGGCTTTATTTTTGGATTGATGAATTCAATGACTTTTAAGACTTTTTAAGGCTCTGCAGGAACCCTGCAATAGCAATAGCAGTAGTGGTAATAGAATAGAAATAACTATAAAAATTAAAATACTGTGCAAGTAAATTACAATGACGGTAAGAAACGTTCTTAAACTGTTGGACTATTTGCTCACAGTTGTTCACAAAGTGGTGAACCTCACCCCATTCATGCTTGTGAACGACTGAGCCTTTCAGGGATGCTCTAGTTCTACCCAATCCTGACACACAGGTGTTTTATTAGCATTCTTCAACCATCCCAGTCTTTTGTTGCCCCTGTCCCAGCTTTTTTGGAAAGTGTTGCAAACATCAAATTTTAAATGAGTGATTAAAAAAAGTTCATCAGTTTGATTATTAAATATCTCGTCTTTGGTAGTGTATTTAATTTAATATAGGTTGGAAAAGATTTGCAAATCATTGTATTCTGTTTTTATTTAGGTTTTACATAACGGCCCAACTTTAATGGAATTGGGTTTGTAAAATATAGATGTCTTTGTGTATAAAAACTACCTGTGCAGCTTTTGGATGGCATGTGCAGAGGTCTTCCTGACGTAAGGGGACAGGTCTGCAGCAGCCTCTTTAATCGCCAGCATCATAATGGGAACGATAATGGGGACACGAATACTAGACAGAACCCTGAGAGCGCTGGCCCGGATGAACTGGTTTGGATCCTGCCACACAGAAAAGGTGAAAAATTAGACTCTCTTAACCTTTATCATTTAGGTCTTCAAAACAGTAACATTACAGTCAAAATGTATCAAATACATCATAAAACATTCTGTGTTTCAAACGCTCATGTTACACTGTAATCAAATGCAGCTTTTTTAAAAACTAATCAGAAATAAATGTGACCCACCATTTCAAAATGAGGATTAAGTCAAATTTGGTCAAAATGACCTAATTACATTTTCAGATTCTTGTCTTTAAAAGCTACATTTTGATACCTGGATCATTCTGATATCATAATTAAATCCATATATATGACTTAATTTGTCTTGTTGGTTACAATAATACATAAATATTTGGTC